GTAATTACAGTAGAGGAACTGTGTACATGGGCCACCTCATGAAGAAGGATTCACTTCAGCAGGGCTATTATGTCTGCAGAGTCTACCCTTTGGGTGTGTCATTTGTGGAAGTGGTTGCGTTGTGCTCTGGCAGTGGCTCATCTTAGTCTGCACCAGAGCCCCTCTCAAGAGGCCCTAAAACCAACACACCCAGTGGTGGTTTAGTGACTCAGGACTGGCTGGAGTGTCAAAGCTCCCCATGATTGATGGCTGGAGTTATAGAGAGATCCACATAGTCCTGCAACTGCTGTGAGAATCCTGGAGTTAAAGAAACTAAAATAAATTATAAATAAATTGTGTATAAAGATACACAAACATAAATACAGCTAACATTTTGGATTTACTATAGTCATATATGCTTATGTTAGACTAAAAAATATTTTACATAGTTTCATATTTTCTAGACTTCAACTTAGCACACTTATGTTGTCCCTGCACACATGCAGTGATAACTCTTTTAATCAAAATTTTCAATCCTTTTGTTGGAAGAAATTGTTGGCTGCTATAGATCGAGTATGACTATTACAATATTATGTCCCAACTATTGCCCATCCTTTTGTGTAAATATAATGTTTTCATTTTCCAATAAACCTGTTCCTAGTCGATATGTAGAATACTGGATATAGAATAGTAAAAGCTAGAACAATTTGGATGATCACAGGACTGTAGGCTTACTCAGTGCAGCACAAATGGCTGTAGATGCCTATTAGCATCACATAATAATGACCCAGGTGACTAAAAAAATTGCTGATAGTATCGGGTATTTATGATACAGGCCAGGGGGCAATGAAAGTGGCAACACATTTAAAAGTTTAAAGTACTATGTAAATATCAAATAGAATTGTTTGTGGATGTGTGGATGAACATGAAGACAGAACAAAGTATGTTCCATCTATGAAATGCAGGAGTCAGATTCTGATTTCAGAATAGTATTCCAGGTTCAATGTTCCATAACTTTATGTTTTTGTGGGCTGGTCATCACAGGGTAAAAGTTAGTCACTGCACAGTCACTACCAGGAACCAGAGCCAACTCAGTACCTTGTTAAAAGAGATGAACAAAGAAGAAAAAATGCAAAACAAGGTTTTTCAGGATGTCAAGAATTTGGATGAAAGAATGTGCTCAAAAGGGAACATGACACAAGCCTACGCTCCTGTAAATTAATAATTTAAAGAGTTTTTGTTTGTTTGTTTGTTTTCATACAACAGTGGAGGCACTCCATTTGGGAACATTAATGGCTGCTCATGGCTACTTCTTCCCAATCTCAGATCACGTCCTCACACTCAAGGATGATGGCACCTTTTACCGGTTTCAAGTAAGTTTCATGAAAATATCCTTTAACAGTAAAAGAGAAGACTGTATTTTGTTGGTTAATTGTTAGTACAGAAAATTTGAAAATTATGACCTTTTTAAGTTCAGCTAATTAGAAACTAATGGCTCAATTTAAGATGTAAAAACAATAAACAAAGATGCAGTGTGCTCAGTTAAGGTGATTTATGAAAGATAAATTGTGTCATGAATAAACTTTTATTTTATATAAAAAGTTTAAGAGAAATTCAGAGAGTAACTTACTGGGATTCATGAAGATAGGAGAGCTCTTTATCAGTAAGCCCCATTAAGCTACTAGGAAGAAAATTGAGAGATGTAACTAAATTTATTATACTCTGGATCCAAAATCATCTTCAGTCCAAGTAAACTCTCACAGAATGCTTGAAGCTTCAGCTTATAAATTAGTTTGTTACACAAGCCCTTTACAAGTTGGTATCTGAGGACCTTCTGCAAGTCTGTAAAGACTGATATGCATGATGTTGTACATGTGTGTGCTCATCCGAGACAGGATGCCGTAGATAACTTGCAAACCAACAAGAGTCATTCTAGGTCATTTTCAAATGAGACACAGTATTATTCTGTCAGGAAATGATTGTGGACTCTTATTTCAGTCATTGAGCAAGCAGTTGGCACTTGAGTTCACAGTGATTTATCTCAAGTGTATTCTACATTTCATTAGATGTTGTGATTCATTAATAACTGACTAGTAGATTCTAGACTATAAACATAGGTCATATAAAATGCCAGAGTTCAAGCACTAGCTGAATTCCTATAGGTATTTTTGGAAGTTTCTCTCCATCGTCCAACTATCAAACATTGGAGAATTCTTCTCAATTGTTCTGAATATTATTAGATGTTCTATATCTAAATTGATGGCTGAATAGTAATTTGGGTGCCTAAGAACTTGCTTGGGGAAACTGAGAACAAAGAGGGGATATGTTTTAAAAAATTCTTCCCAGAGATCGTTGTCCCCTTTAGAACACTCTAAGTCCTGCTTCCTTTTGACTCTTTTATCCAAGGAAAATAATCATAGGACTTTTTGCACTGAATAACTGGGAGATAAAGCAGTCTCCTAAAATTGTGATACTGACCTAAGTATTCAAGCAATTTCAATTGCTTAGTTTTAAAAGGCTTTAAAAGAATGGAACGTTATACAGGTAAAATAATTGTAGCTTAAAACAGCTTATTAAGTGAGAGTAACTAGGGTTCCTAAGGTTAACATTTTAATAAAAAAAATTATTGGTGATCAGCAAACAAATTATTCGTGGGTCACTAGCACTTTTTGATTTTTAAAGGAGTTAATTTTCTATTACAGGATTACATTTTCCATATGTTATTTTCTCACAAAAGTTTCATATAAGGACTATAAGTAAACTTCTAGTAAACTTCCCAGTAAAATTTTCACAATTCTTTACAATATTCCAAGTAAAATCGTGCATGCATAAAAGAACATATATACAAGGGAGGCACTGAATAGTTCATCTCTTGAGAATTATCTAATCCAAAAAATGTCTTTAAAATAGCTCATACATGGCCCAAAGTTAATGATGATGGCTTGAATTAGTGTAATTTGTGAACTTTAAGACTGCTCTGTGATTCTCAGACTGAAATTAGTAGGCAGACAAGGTTTAAATGTCTTAGTCTTGCTCATGAGTCAAGAATGAGCAAAACTGGAAATGGACCACCGTTCATACAGGCAAAAAGGAGAGACTGTTTTTAAAGGGCTTTAGAACAAAGCAAGTAAATAGGTGCAAATGACAAATGAATTACATCACTACTAGATATAGGCAGAAGGTTTAATGTGCCTAGATAGATGATATATAAATAATCTTTTAAATTACACTAATTAATGTTATAATATTAAATGGTAACTATTTTAATGACCCATCCACATTTAAAATATGATCTAAATATGACATATTTGTAAGTCTAAAAATCATAGAATCTTAAAACCAAGATTTAAAAAACCCAGAAAAGTCAAGAAAAATTGAATTCCTACTGTAATATCTACTACGGCATTAATCACTCTACATCTAAACAGCGCTAATAATAGAACACACATTATTGTTCAAGGTGTTTACTTCCATTTTTGTCTTCATTCCAAGAAGCAGAAAGTTCTTTATTACTTTGAACAGAAATTCAACTCTGTGGAAGGATTTTAAAAATCACTAATTAAAATGGAAAGCTTGCAATATCTTGTTTACAATTCTTCCAGTGAATGATTGAAATTCTAGCCATCATTAGGAATCTGAAGATGTTTCAGGGCATGAGTTTGAGACAAATAGAACTTTTAATTTAATTTCAGTGGCATGCAACAATATGTAAATTTGTCTCAAGTTTTAGTACATTTTTAATTATGTGATTTTTGCATTAATGTAAACTCACAATTGTCTAATTATCCTCTCTTAGCTAATTGGAATTGAGATCTGACATGGTTTTCCAGGTCTCTTTAATGGTCTCTTACCATATTAACATATGTGCCAAAGATTATTGAGCAATGGTTGGACAGTTTGGGATCAGTTTTATCATAGCTAGAGAAGTCAACACTGAAAAGCAGAGAAACTCATATATTAATAATGTCTTCTTGAAGTCTATGTGAACTGTAAACGTATATTTTTTAATTGCAGCAAACAATAAGAGTTTGCTATTTGTTAAATTGCCTTTTACTATATTTTTCCTAGGAAAAATCTTACAATATTAGTGAAGAATGTTTGTTTAATGACATTTTCACTATATTAGAAAATACAACAGCGTCATTCTTTTATTTTTACATTCAGGAATTTCTCACTAAAGTAAATGATAAAAGAATAAAGAAAAATTGTAAGAATGCAGCAAGAACATTTTTCTGTGTTTTGGAGGGGAAAAAAAGCATATAACTGACCAATCTGACTAGAATAAGTATTTTAAATGTAAGATAAATAGATGTGTGTGTTTGTCCATGTGCGCTTGCATACTTATGTGTGCATACAGACACGCACACGGGCAGACACACAGACACACACACATGTCCCAAACAAACAAGCAACCAAAAGAGAATAATAAACTCTATGAGAAGTATCTCAAAAACCAGCAGTCCACATGAAAGCAAGATTTTAATTGCTTTAATTGGTTTTTCTAGAATCCTTACCCAATTTTATTTTTAGGAAATGAAATCATCAAAGATTCATCTCCCACAGAATCAAGTGGGATTCACATGAGAAGGGGGGCCAGTGTAAAGCCTTGATAACCTCCTTGTCTACTGGTTCAACCTTTTATCCCCCTAAATTTCTGTTGCCATTTTGCTTACATGTGTACAAAACTAATGTTAGTAGCTTTCTTTATGATACTGCATCAAATGCCAGGAATGACTAGAGAGGAACTCAGAGATCCCTGGGAGTCTTGAACAGCTTGGAAAGGCTGTCCTCAGAAACAAAGAGGTGTCCCCAATTACCCTTTACCTTTTCTTGAGAGTCCCTTTTCCAGAAAGGAGAATTATCAAGCAGGTAATCAGAGATTACCCCAAATATGCTCATTACACGTAGATAGTTTATATTATTAACTAACAAATGTAGTTAAATCCACATGGCTTATGTCTGCAATCACTGTTCCACTGAGTCCTGGAAGCATTGTCACCCCAGAAGACAAAGTTTGATCAAGTAGACAGAGGGCCATCGAATTTCCTCATGGGCCGGAGCCAAGCACATCCAGCTAGCACAGATAGAAAAGCCCTTGTAGAAAATATAAAATGTCAATGATTACAATAGAATTTTCCTGATCAGACACTTCCTTTGTATTTTTGTCAGTGCGTTTCTAGAATTTCACAGAATCAGATTCCTCTCTCTTGTTAATCATATCAATCAACTAAGACATTACTAGCTTAAAAAAACTGATCTCTGGTTTGTACTGTTTAAAAATTTAGAGCAATAAGTGTCTTTATTACAAAATGTTTTTTTCAAGTGAGGAGAAAAAGTTGTTCTGATCTGGTTGGCTAATGTTAAGAGCTGCACGCCTTATATAATTAATAGAGCAAGGCAAATGTTTGCCGGACCTTAGGGAAAGATTTTGACAGTTGAGCTTTTGGATCTGTTGAAAGTGATGTTGAGATACATTAATCATAGAAAACTATTTGTTATATTTAAACATGTTTTATCCTGCATCTTCCTGACTATAATACTCTGCTTTCAGTCTTTGTGGATTCAGGCTTCTTGTTTTAGTAATGCAATGAGACCTTTTACCTTTGTGTCAGTTGGCATAAAACTGCAGCAAAAGTAGGACATTTTAAATGCTCGCTGGTGCTGCCCAGATCTGGAGGCTGAACGAATGCTCAGCCAATACGTGTACAAGCAAAACCTCACTGTGCCTTTCTGGGTATGTTTTCTGTCTTTCAAACATATCTTTAGTGAACTTTTCTAGATAATTGCTAAATATATAAACACTGCTCATAAACCCAAAACTCTTTCAATGGTTTATGTGTCTAACCTGGGTTCTACTTCTTTTCATTCCACAGACACCCTATTTTTGGCCATCAAATTGTTGGGAGCCAGAAAACACAGACTATGGTCAGTGCAACATCTCATTTTATTTTTGGCAGTCAGTATGGCTAGATGAACATGGGCTTGTATTTTATTGTTTTGTCATTGAGAAAAGAAAGCTACATTTCTCAGTGTGGGACTCATATTTCTAACATTGAATTTACAAATGGCCTTTTTATTGGAAAGTCACCAAACTGGGTGGTGACTTTTTCCATAGTATAGTGTCCATTGAGACTAATGAAGAATAGGTTTTCTTCTGAATAGGTTAAAAGCTATAAACACGCTTTTGAAAGGGTTGTTATTATTTTTCCATAGCACATTGGTGTTCTAGAAAGAGTAACAAAAGTGCTCAGAGAGCTCTAGTTCACCTCGTCCACTAGCTGTGTGAATTGTGTTAAGTCCATTGACTTTCGGAGGCTTAATTTTTCTTACTATTATATGAGGCATCCTATGATTCTATAAGTGGAAGTTTGTATTAAACATGGAGAGGTCAATTACCAGCAAAAGAAAAGTTACAAAAGAAAATTTAATAGCAATGAATCAAGCTCAGTGAACTTAGAATGAACTCAATTCAACAATCGTGGTTTCCGTGAAGCTCTTCAAGGAAATAGGCTTCTAATAAGTATTCATCTTCTTACATATTCCTGAAGCGACAAGTGTTCAAAGATAAGATGGCATGGTTTTTAAATCTAATTTCTACAAATATTTATTGAGGATTATTTCCCTATGCCAAGTGCTATACTAGGTGCTGGGATACCAAAGGTCACCTTGACTTTGTCTACATGGTTGGGTAGATTGTCAGCTAAATGAGAAAAGAGAATGATACCGGAGTTGCTGTAGAATGCCAAGTGAATACAACAGTAGTGTGTGCGAAATTATATGGAAGTGTAAAAGAATGAGAGATTTTAGTTGGGGGATTCCAGAGTGATTTCACAAAAGAACAGAGCATTTCAAATTGTTGTTTAAATGAGGGGAGATTTTTCAAGAGACAAGGCAGAGAGAAGGCATTTGAGGCAGAGGGCCAGCATACACTGGGGGTGCCAAAAAAAAAAGTGTACATATGACCTATATTCACCTTTTGTTATTGGTATATATTGAGTATTACAATTTTAATGCAGTTTTTTCCTTTCCTAAAATGTGTATACATTTGTTTGACACCCTCTGTATATGCAAAGGCAGTAAGAGGCTTATAGCAATCCAGCTTTCTTTGGTATTGCTCCGGGAGAGACAGCTTTGTAAGAACACTATAGGAAAATCCATGGAAAACCAAGGGAGTTTTTTCCACTCTGTCATTTCAGAAACTCGAATTTGTAGTTCATCTAAGAGTGGTCAGTGCCAGTCAAAGATTCAAACTAACATACCTCATGGAAAACAATCTGAAAATCAGAATACTGATACATTAATACAGAGAATAGATGATTTCTTTCCAGTGGTGGTAATGCTGATTTCTTCATTCAGAAACTTATTGGGTTGTCGGAAAAGTCATGATGCATTTTTGCAACGAAAAACATAGAAAAAATACATCATGACTTTTTAAACAACCCAGTATATTCCTCAAAACTGAGGCACTTGGAGAAAGAAGTTATTTAAAAAATGAACAAATAAACAAAAACAAAACACCACTGATTTGTGGATCTGAGTTGGCAAACTTTCTGGAGCATTTTGTCCAACTTGGAATGATGCCTGGGGATTGTTTCACTAAAGAATATAACATTCTAGTGGAGGGAACACTTGGACAGCTGAGAAGGAGCTCATGGAAAAAGACCCAGATGTTAGAGACAGACAGACCTGACCTCAAACACTGTCAGAACTATATACCAACTGTGTGACTTTCGACAAAGCGTGCAACATCCATGAGTCTCAGTCTGCTCCCTTTTCAAGCAGAAATAATAGTATTGAATATCTACAGCTATTGAAAGAATCCAAATTAACATGCCTAAGGAAACTGGTATTAATCCTCTCATATTCAATAAATCAAAATTGTTTGGAGCTCACCATCGCTGGCTCATGGATACACTGCCTCTGTTCCTCATAGAAAAGCAAATTCTTACTCTCAGTGTTTCTCTCTATCCATCTTTTGTGTTTTAATATGTTAGTGTTCACAATTACAGCTCATGTTTCATCACAGCAGATTTATGTTGGCATGGAGGGACTGAGGAAATTGCATGGCCTACACAGAGGTCATTTATAGAACATTCCTCAAAGTGGGTCATTCAGTTTCACATTAACTCTTAGCAGTGTCCATTTCAGAGGGGGTCATCTCCTAAACTTTCTCCCCAAACTCACAGTGCCTGACATTTGTTAACTAACTATAGACATGGTCTTTAATTATTATATTTTGTTTTTCTCCATGAAGAAACATATACCTGTTTGTGTCTAGCTTGCTTAGATTACATACAAGTGAAAAATAAAATAATTATTCAATAAAGGATCATGAAAAAAAATAAGAGGAAGAAAATCAGCAGTGATCTCAGACACTGTACCACTTCTGCAGGCAATGAACTTCATCTGGGATTTTTCTTTTTAAATAAATCATAGCAATGTGAATTATCCAAACTTGAATTTCCTACCACCATTTGGTTAAAGCACACTGTTATAAAATGCACACACCTGCTTATAAAGAAGACATTGATGGCATGATGTAGTTATGCATGAGGTCCAAAGCACAGTGATTATTTAGGTTATCTTTTCTAAGATAACTTTGGGGCAGACAGGAATTGATTGCCTAAAACAGGTTTAAAGAATGGTTTCTTACACTCTTTTAGAGCTTACTAAGTAGGTTCTACAGAACGGAAATCTCTATAGTTCAGTTTATATGGAGAAATGCTTTTCTACAGTTATCTTGGTCTTATAGAAAAATAGAATATGTTGATCATGTTCAAGCTAAGACAAGCCAGTATGGACTACAGGGCTATATCTCTATGAATATCATTCTTTGAAAATTAAGCTGGGTAAAATTTTTGGTATTTTTTTCACCTAAGTACAAAAAACATTCCTCTGTATCATTCAGCCACAATCTCCACTGGTTTTCACAGCATGAAATTATGAGGAATTCTGGACTGGGGAGCCTGGTGTGGGGCTGGGACCCCTTGCTCCTAGGTGGAGGGGGGAACTCTGTAGCTGAGATATCGCTCCAGATTTTTAACCACCACTTGTGAGTGTAGGACCAGCCCTTCAGCACCTCTGCCCCTCCTGCCAGTTTTGACGTGGCTTCTTTTGTGTATCCCTTTTAATATATTCTTTTATTTATTTATTTATTTATTTATTTTTATTATTGGGGAATTGGGGGGATGGGAACAGCGCTGGGGAATTGGGGAAGGGGAACAGACAAGTTGCTGTCCTTTTGCTCTTCAGTCTAGTTGTGGAGGACGTTGCCTCACTGGCCCAAGTTGGCACCATCATTGTGCTCTTCCCGGGTGAGGCAGATTAGTCGCCGGCTTCTGGAAGGCTGCTCACAGCGGCTGCTGGCCGCTCACGCTGGCTGCTGGCTACACACGGTAGCCCATAGCAATCCACTGCCACAGGGGCTGCAGCCTATGCCGTTGCCAGCGACTCACGGCAGCCCAGCTCCAGGTCGAGCTGTTGTTCAGCATCTTAGCTGTGGAGGGCAGTGTCACTGGCCCTCATATGTGGGATCCGAACCGGGGCCCTCTGGGGTCCCAAGCCAGCTCTTAACCAACGCGCCACTCGGCTGGCCCTAATATATTCTTAAATTCAGTTTGCTAATATTATGTTGAGGCCTTCTGCATCTTTTGTTGTCAAGGATTTTGGCCTGTGGTATCTTTGTCTGGTTTTTGGTATCAGGGTAAAGCTGGCCTTGTAAAATGAGTATGGAAGTATTCCTCCCTCTTTGATTTTTTGGAGTTGTTGAAAAGGATGGTATTAATTCTTCTTTCAATGTTTCGTAGAATTCACCATTGAAGCCATCTGATCCTGGGCTTTTGTTTGCTGGGAAGTTTCTTTTATTAGCAAACCGTCTTTTCAGATTTTTTATACCTTCATGATTCCGTCTTGATAGGTTGTATGTTTCTAGGAATGTATCCATTTCTTCTAGCTTGCTAAATTTGTTGGCGTGTAATTGTTCATAATAGTCTGTTACGAAGGGAGAGAGGTTAGAGCGAACAGGATGACCAGTGCATCTCTCACAGATATTTAGCTTCTTGCCCAGGACAGAGCAGGAAAAAACTGGGAGTTCCTGGCTCAGTCAGGAAGCCAGTGCTTCTCTGTCTACAGCGTGCTGATGCGTCACAGACAATGCCATTGGAATGTTATTTTCCCACCCATCCCCATCCATGTTATAATTTAGGGTTGAATTTCAAGCATTCTTAACATAGCACATTAAGGTAGGGTAAACGACTCTATGGAGCCATTATCTTACCCTAGGTAAGTTTTAGGTAGCAAAAAATAAAAACGAAGCGGCACTCTATAGGCAAAATTGTGTAATAGGGGTGAGAATATATAAAAGAAACAGATGTGTCTTGTTCAGGAAAAGCAGTATGGGTAATTCATGTAAACTGTAATGCATGCGTGTTGTTTATTTGTCAAATTATTGGAAACTTATAGTCTAGGAATGTCATTGATGCATATATGCATCATGAAACACCATGAGATTTAACCAAGCAACTCATAAGAAACTAGATTGATGATGATGACATAAAGTAAAAGTTAATTTTAATTTAAAGTTATGAACATCAGTCACTGCAAATCATGACCAACTTAAAACACTGAGGGTACAGTAATAGCAACATGCCCTCCTGGAAAATAACAAAATATCCTCTGGAAATCCTAATTATCCATGGGTATGTGCATTCAAAATTTTGTGACATTACCAAGTATCATGTGGCAGTCAGGCTTTATAGCAAATTCTGAATTAGAGGCCTCCGTAATTTCTATTAATAGGAAGAACATTCCTTTCACTGTAAGTTTTACTAAAGAAAAATTATGGTGGCAATGATAAAAACAAACAAAAAATGTTCTGATTTCCTTGGAGACCTTTTGAAGAGCAAAGAATGAAAAGGAAAATGAAA